AGTGAGCGGGAACCGGTCTGTACGTGGGATCCGAACCCTCGGGCGGGAGCGCCGCCACGCTCCTCAAGCGGACCACTATCCAGTGCGCCACCGGGCCGGCCCCCTCATCCTTTCCTTTAAGAGATAAGGATATTTTAGACCTAAACCTGTCTTGCATAAGCAAGAAGATCAAGACTCCAAAAAGCTGTGGCTTGTTGATGGCCACATAGGCAGGCACGGAGTGGGAGAGGGACGCCCAGGACCCACCTCCTCAGACATCTCCCTTCATGTCACCCCTGCACTCTGCTGGGAGTCATGGTCACAAGACCCCATAAAAGAGGCCGGGTTTAAGGAGATGGTGGGCAAGGTGGGAGCTGCTGTTTGAGCTGCAAAAGCCTTGCAGAGAGCAGCCTAAGCAGAGAGCAGTTTTTCATTCCTGGGCAAGATTACCTCCAAACCCTTTGACAGAAATTGCTTGGGACACTCTGTAAGTGACCTTGTGATTACAGGAAAGAGATGCCAACCCTGGAGGCTTACCTTAGCTCCTGGTGGTCCCCTTCGGCCATAGCCGCCCTGTGGAAGAAGCCACACAGACTGTCAGGGGCGACCAGATGCTGGGCACGGAGCCCGGGATCCTGAGACTTAACCCAAGCATCCTCCTGATGTTCAGGGCGCCTCCCCACACGCTTTGCACCAGAAACCAGAAATGAAGCCTGGTCAGCCCCAGGAAACTCGCATACAGACACCCTTCCTCCACCTCATCTCGGTGCAGTTTTGCTTCCTTTCCATTCCTGTTAATCACCCAGATGGAAGTTTTGAGAATTACTTTAAGACCTGCCAAGCAAAATAATGACTTCTCCTGGCTGTACAGTCCCAGCCAATTTCAAATAAGGAATGTGAAGTGGGGATGTCAACCTGTCTGTTTTTCTTCCATTTTCCTAACTGGAGTGAGAAGTAATGAAATACATTAATTATAATGGAAGGGAGTCCCAAATCCTCCAAATTATTCTGGCCAAATACAACACACACTCAGTCAAGTAAAGTATCCAAAATGCACACATGTGAACCTAAACGTCTCCTGCACTTAGGTTGGACTCATGACTTGGCCACATCTTCCTGGATGCTCCAGAGGTGACCCTTAGTCCAAATGTGGGCTTGCATCACAAGTAATCCATTAATTCCCACCTCGTGATTGCTTCCTCTGCAGTGAAAAGGACTGGGGTGGGACTACACAAATGTCCTGGTTGGTTAGGGGTTGGTGCTCTGGAGACTGGCATGTGCCAGCTCTGTTGCAGGACTTGGCCTATCTGCTGCATTAACCCCAAAACCGCATTCTCCACTCCCAGTGGACCAGCCCAGTGATCTCCTGGGGTGCCCATTTGCCATTATCCACTGTAGC